AAGAATTAGCTGTTCACGACTGTTTTAAATTATTTCAAGACTTAAGGACAATAATACATAGGTCGTTGAATTCGTCTTGACGTCAGCTATAATATTATTAAGTAAAAAATATATAGTGACCATAAAAAAAACAAGGTGACTTTATTTTTTATTTAAAAAAAAATGTTTTAAATTTTTATATTGGAATTTGTAAAACAGGATGTGCTGACTAATCTTTGTTGGAAACATTTTTTTGTCAGAGCATCGGAAATGCCTGAAAAATCGGGATGACGTGTGAATAATGAATTATAATTGAAAACTAGCTGTTCAGGCTTTGCAAACAAATAGAGTGATTCATAATTCTTGAATCAATGAATTTTATTACATTTAATCAGACAAGAAGAATATGTGATTATTTTCTTCTTGAAAAAATTTAAAATATTCAAACAAAAATAATTGTTATATTTTAGAAAATTAGTGAATTTAATAAATTAACCATACTAATAATTACCACTTTTATTTATTATTTGTCTATTAATAAACAAAAGTCTATGCAATTATTCTTATTAACAAAGATAATAAACTTTTTGCTAGAGCTTTACAATGTATTAATTTATTTATCTAAAATTTATTATCTTTAATGAATCATCATCGTCTTGGAGGTCTTCTTTTACCATTAATCTGTGTAAGTAGTGGTCTGCAACGCGTCTCGTGCAGCACGACTCGCCGCTGAAGTGCGTGTCACGCGACGCTTTAAACAATAATAATTTATGGGGTGGGACGAGAGAGGAAATGAATCTTGCATGATTTTATAGAGAAACAACGCATGACAATATTCCACTTTGATAGAACGCATAACTCTTTAAAACTTCAAAGATATCCCTTGTCAAAGATGAAAAACTTCGACGATTCTCTTTCCTTCACTGAGTATTATTTTTTTAAACAAATTACGAACAATAACTTTTTAATCCAGGTGCGTTCTCAATATAGACATACACTATTCATAAAAAAAAAAACATGGACACATAATGTTTAATAGGTTTTCCAGGGCATCAATACGAAAAAAAGTAATTTTTTCGGTGAAAAATGGTATTTATAAAAGTTTGATATTTAAATGTTTGTTTTAACTATAATTTTTAATACATCTCATTAGCTTCATCGTTTTCGAATGTGACACACATTTCGAAAGCAATATACATTCGTTAAACATCGATATGAGGAATTTGATTTTTTGACAAATGCACAGCTAACTCTTCGATCTGGCCCACTGTGCCACGATCCAAGCAAGAATCACTGCCGGACATTGTATGCTGGAAGAATGCCCGGCCATATGGGATGCACAAGAGAAGCGAGAAAGAAGAGCGCGTTCGTTAAGTTTCGGCGGTCGTGGGAATCGATTTACGGTATCTGGAAGTGGTGCACGTGCACGCCGATGTATTTTTGCCGGGCCGCGAGCGAGCGAGGCCCCTGAACAGACTCTGTGCATCCTCTCTATTTGCATCCTTGGAAACACTGCGCGCGCTCACTTTCTCGCTCTCTTTTCTCTCTATCCGTGGCCATCGCGAAACTCGAGGGTCGTCAGCCACTGAAGGGAGAGCGCATGGGAACCTAAGACCGCGGTTTCCGCTGGGGATCCGAAAAAATGCAGTAGACCCCGCTTAATAGACGCTTTTGTTTCCCGATTTATTGACGCAAAGTTATGTCCACCATTTCTTGGGTCTGTAGGTATCGCCGTGTATTAGGAAATTGTCGTGTTATGGCGTATTCGTGTGGTGAGTAAATAGTGGTAATTCTGTAAAAAGAATGTACAGTAGTCCCCGCTTAATAGGCATTTTTGTTTCCCGATTTATTGACGCTGAGTTATGTCCACCATTTCTTGGGTCTGTAGGTATCGCCGTGTATTAGGAAATTGTCGTGTTATGGCGTATTCGTGTGGTGAATAAATAGTGGTAATTCTGTAAGCAGAATGTACAGTAGTCCCCGCTTAATAGGCATTTTTGTTTCCCGATTTATTGACGCTGAGTTATGTCCACCATTTCCTGGATATATAGCTATCACCATGTATTATGAGAATCGTCGTATGAGAAGTCATAGTAATTCTGTAAGAAGAATGTACAGTAGTCCCCGCTTAATAGGCGTTTTTGTTTCCCGCTTTATTGACGCTGAGTTATGTCCATCATTTCTTGGAACTACATATACAATGACCGTATATTATAAAAATCGTCATATTATTGTGACATTCGTGTGGTGAGTAAATAGTAGCAATTCAATAACTAGAATGTACAGTAGTCCCCGCTTAATAGAGTCACAGGTATAACCTCATAAATTGTTGGAAGTACAGGTTACCCTCGTATAATATAAAACTCACAGTGTTGTGGCGTATTCCTGTGGTAAGTAAATTGTGATCTACAATTAGAATGTACAGTAGTCCTCGTTCAATTGACCAATAATAATCCCCACCAATTCTTGGAATTATAAGTAACCTCGTTAAAACATGTAAAACATCCTAAAAATTTTCGTGTTACGCGATATCGTGTTATACAAAACTAAAAAACTCGAATGTACAGTAGTCCCCGCTTAATTGACCAAGAATAATCCCCATTAATTCTTGGAACTACAAGTAACCCCCATATAACACGGCAGTTAGGTTCCTAAAAATTGCAGTGTTACGTCAATTCGAGTTACACGAAACTGAGAACTATAATGTACAGTAGTACCCCCTCTCATTGTGTCCCTGCTTAATTTGACCAAGTGTTATCCCTAACAATTCCAGAAACAACTTCCACAGCCTCTGATATTCCTAGATCACCTACTTCCCTCGATAACTGTCGCAACACGGACTTCAGCATGCGCCAATTAGGCGGGGACTACTGTACATATTTTCATATTCTACTGTCCCCGAGGTAGATAGACAAAACCTATAGATCAGTGATTAGTAAACTGCACATTTTTATGCAAAATGACATTTTATAAAGCAATTCATTACGGTAAGAACAAATGTAGGAATTTCTTTTCTCTTTTAAGTGTCTTTGGATTCAGTATAAATCGGAATCTGTTTTTTATTAGATTTTAGAGAGCCCTGTAGACTATAAAAGCATAAAAGCAGGAGTTTAGTGATGAGCAATCCAACAATTATTTACTTATGGACCGTCGAAGTTATTTGGGTGATCCACTTTAATCAGCCAGTGTGAAAAACATTAAGAGAAAGGTGAAGAAAGTTAATAATTTTTAAATTAATATTATTAAGTTGTTTTAAAGTTGTAGTTGCAACAGCCAATTCATATTGTTGATTTTTCAAATTTTGGCCCGCTTGCAAAGAAAATATTACTCATCACTGCTATGAACAACACGCGCGGGAAAATCATTCGAATTCCATGGATGGCTGCGCGGTATTTATAGATCAGGCGCAATTCATCTTGCGACAGTTTTACCCGGAGACCGTGATTACGACGGGGGTTACGTGAACGATGCGTGAATATGGGGGTGGGTTATTTAATGTTTTGGAACTAGAAATACTGGACCACTAGAAATAAGAAACAAAAATGATTTCTCTGGCGCCTTTTATAGCATTAGTGATGAATTAAATGGTCTTGCACAGTGACGAAGCATTTTCAAATGACGAATTAATTCGTCCAGTCCAAGACGAAGCATTTTCAAATACGGAATTAACTCGTACAACCCAATGAAGAAATATTTTCAAATGACGAGTTAACTCGTCCAGCTGAATGAAAAAATCTTTTCAAGTGACGAGTTATGTCGTCTTACCCAGTGAAGAAAGATTTTCAAGTGACGATTTAACTCGGCTTGCTCAGTGAAGGAGTATTTTTAAGTGACAAATTAACTCGTCTTGCCCAGTGAAGAATTATTTTTAAGTGACGAGTTAACTCGTCCAACCTAATGAAGCAGTATTTATGAGTGACACGTTAATTCGTCCAACCTAGTGAAGAAGTATTTTTGAGTGACGAGTTAACTCGTCCAATGTAGTGAAGAAACATTTTCAAGTGACGATTTAACTCGTCTTTCTCAGTGAAAAAGTATTTTCAAGTGATGAGTTAACCCGTCTTCATCGGTTAACAATCTTGAGATTAAATGACAAGGGTCGATAATATAAACGATTTGTAAAAAATTATAGAGAATGAATTTATACATTACAGTTCTAGTTGTAAGTACCTACTGAAGAAAGGTAGGTTAGCAAATTATGTTAGCGACGAGCCCCCGTAATTCGAAGGGCGCGCGATTTGAATGGCGAAAAGTATGAGCTCGTTTTTTAAAATTAATTTTATCTTTTAATTAAATTACTATTAAACATTTTTCTAACTTGTTCGGGGACCAATTAAAAATTGATTGAAACGTTATTTAATGATTTTCACGATAACGGAAAGACACAGGAAGCCATTATCAAAAAATTACGTGTTCGGTAATTGAATATTCTCACGCCGATAAGCTATCTCTAAAAAACCGAAAAAGAAACATTCGAAGGCAATGAACGGAAGTGTCGGACTTTCGAGTCCTTATCAAAGCCTCAAAACTTTGATGAAGATTCGAATCAATGTATTCACTTAACAAGACAAAGCAGTCTCGACCAATTGAACAGAATAAAATTATGAAGAAAAAAGGAAAAAAAAACTTTTGGCACATCATGGTTAAATTGCAAGACGAGTTCGAAATATCAAAAAGGAGCTGTTAATTAAACAGTTCCTTTTAACTTTACACGCTGATAACTATCGAGTGGTCAGGTCTTTAATGACCAAACTAATTGTTTTTTTAAAACAAATCTAACTGCCTTAAGAACCATAATACTTCATCTTAAGTTGGATGGCTGATCTACTAGGATTTATTTAACATTTTAATTCGCAAGGTAGTAAGAAGTTAAAGGAAAAATGGTTCACGATTAGCGATAAGAGATGGAGGAAATGCACCTCAAGAACGCGGAAAAGTGGTCAAAGCACGCCGATAAATTACCGGTTTCGATAATCTCCCCTGTTAAAGAGGAAAATAGCGGATCGCGGCAGCTGACTCACCGTGCATATAGGTAGAAAAAGGCCAACGACGTACAGCATTGCACTGGTCACCGTCGACGGGTGGAACGGGTGATATAATGACTCGTCGTTGCAGAAGAATCCACGCTTGTACGGATTGCCAAACAGGTGGAACAACAGGACCGCCATGCCCACTGTAACGACAGATAATTGAAGTTTTAGTTGAATTCCGTCCTCATGAATCAAAATATTTTTACACTGTATAGTTTAAAATAGTATCTGGAACTTAAATTGGGGTAGAATATTTTGTTTGGAATAACGAATTTGGCAGAGAAAATATGGAGATTAAGATGGAAAAGGTAGCCTGCAATATAGAGTATGGAACATTTAAGTTATGGAATAGAGAATATTTAATATTGAATATAGAAAGTAGACGAACATGTAGAATATAGAATGTAGAAGAACATTTAGAATATAGGAGGAAGTATGTATAAAATATAGATACAAATGTGAATGTGGAGAATATAGTATAATCGTTTGTTTAAAAAAGGGTCACCCACTTTGTGGGTGCATAAGACATTCGGTAAAATCGACAAGTGGCAATTGTGTGTTACATATTGTGAGAAGGACCCACACTAACTGTGTGATACTCAAAGAAAACATCGACATTAGAAGGCGTGATACCCAAAGAAAATACCCACCCTCACTGTATGATACCCAAAGAAAACAGCTACACTGGTAATATGATACCACAAGAAAATATCTACGCTAGATGTGTGATATCCAAAGAAAACACCCACATTAGAAATGTAACACCCAAAGAAAATACCCACCCTAACTGTACGATACCCAAAGAAAACACCTACACTAGCACTATGATACCCAAAGGAAACAACCACACCAGTAGTGTGATACCCAAAGAAAACACACACGTAAGAAGTGTGATACCTAAAGAAAATACCGACACTAGCAGTATAATATCCAAAATAAATACCTAGACTAGCAATATGACATCCCCCCAAAAAAAACACCTACACTAGAAGTATGATACCCAAAAACACACCGGCTGTTAAATCTCTACCATCTTTGCTTAGACGGTGTATGAAATGGTTTACCATAACTGGCAAGGCAGGTGCATGCACCCAGGGCTGCCACTGCCAGGACGATGGTCCAACCTGATCACTAGTTGGCCAGAGCCCCTGGGTCTTGGATGCGCCAAGAAATGAGGTCTCTCAAGCAGCCTCTTCGCCCAACGACCCATGGTATCATTTAGAGAATGGTTTTTCCTTTGTGAGGTCTACACCACACATTCAGTCGAGTTATCTCCCAATTCTTAGTACTGGTAGATCAGTTCAGCTGCCCCCGGGGTCGCTAACTACCGTACTGCACCTTGGTGTAGCCCCTGAGGGAGGCTTCATAAATATAGTAATCGACAACCAACAGTTTCCCCATGACCGTCTGCACTTATCCACCCAGTTCTATGGACTCCTCCCTCAGCTTTTAGACATGCACGACAGGAGTGTATCCTCTCCATACGATTGCGTTGCTCAATTACCGAAGTAAGATATTAAGTTTCTGTTAGCTCACATGCAGTTAGCTTCCAAAATCATATTTTTGTACATTTTAACCGTAAAAACCGTTGACACCAATTTGCCACACCATCTTAGGGGAGATTCTCTACTGTATACCTGGGCTGTGTATAGCTGATGGATTTACTCTATGTTTGGATAAGCCAAGTCTGCTGTAGTCTAGATAAACCAACTGTACTGTAGTCTAGGTAAGGTAAACCAATTCTACTGTAGTCTAGGTAAGGTAAACCAATTCTACTGTAGTCTAGGCAAGGTAAACCAAGTCTACTGTAGTCTAGGTAAGCCAAATCTGATATAGTCTAGATAAGCCAAGTCTACTGGAGTCTACGTAAGCCAAGTCTACTTCTCCTCTTTCTCTATTCATATACTTTTCCCTTTCTATTTATTAAACGCTAACCCCACAAGATCTCTCAGAACCATCGACTAACAATGCACAGAGCAGGTTAACCCGCTAACTATACCAAAATAAGTGTGCCTTGTGCTGAATGAGACCCTCCTTAAAAGTAACTGACATCCGAAAATTTCCCCACAACAGTTATCCCCACCCGACCTGACCCCACTGTTACCTCCTTCAACCATCAGTTTTTCTCGATCATACTATACCTATCGGAATAAAGTATACCAAGTAAACTATACATTGCTTACCAAGCTCCCGAAGCTTACCGTTCAACACGCCTGCCTTATATCATCATCACTCATCCCCCTAACTACAGATTCGTGCTCCTTAATCGTCGCGTAATCGGCCAGTTAGCCCCCATAAACTTTCATAATTTGTCATATCCTAACAAGAAGACGCAAAAACAGGGGATATCTCAAGATACACAAAGATCCACTTAACGCCGCGACGGTCTCGTGCGTGAAGTCCAGAGAACAGTCGTTACAATAATTCGCTAATTATAAGTAGACTCCTTGTTGCGCGCGCTGGCGAAGGAGCCCTGGCAACCGGCAATTACCGGCGGCTACCCTCGCCTCGTTTCGTATTTCCATTCGCGAACGATTTAGCCGCGAGCGGTCTATGATAATTCGAAAATTGAGACCGTCCTAAGATTATCGGTCGAGCGGAGCCTCTTTATCGTAACGAGTTTCCGTAACTCCTGACAACCAGGAATCCCGCCACCGTCGCTGGGTAGAGCCCCACAGGAGAAAAATCGGGTATAACGCGCACGCAAAATTACGACGTTCGTTTCATGGAAATGCCTCGCCCTGCGCGTACATACCACTACCTGGATATCGCTCGAGCGAGAGTCAGCTATTAAGATAATTGTGACTCCGGTTTGACTGAAACGAGCCAATACACAGGACGCCCCGAAACCATTCCTGTGATCGCGCGCGGGAGATCGTTATTCATGGGTTTGAATACGGCTTAAACCGCGTATCCACAAGAGCGCGCGTCAGGGGACGGTTGTTTCCTTTGCATCTGACGAAATTTCTTTGGAATTGTTAAGAGCTTGGCCCATTTGAGAGCTTACAAATGAAAACTATTTTTTTTCTAAAATGATGAAGTACAGTAGATCTTCGATTTAGACTGCCTTTCCACGGAAACGCGCGTCAGGGGACGGTTATTTCCTTTACATCTGACGAAATTTCGTTGGAATTGTTATGGGGTTATCCCATATGGAAGCTTAAAAATGAAAGCTATTTTTTGGCAAGTTTTATGCAAAAATGATGAAGTACAATAAATTCTAAGTTTAGGTCATGTTTCGACGGGAGAGCGCGTCAGGGAAGGGTTATTTCCTTTACTTCTGACGAAATTTCTTTGGAATTGTAAAGAGGTTGGCCCATTTGGGAGCTTACAAATGAAAACTATTTTTTGGCAAGTTTTATGCAAAAATGATGAAGTACAATAAATCCTACGTTTAGGTCATGTTTCGACGGGAGAGCGCGTCAGGAGACGGTTGTTTGCTTTGCATCTGACGAAACTTCTTTGGAATTGTTAAGAGGATAACCTACATGGGAGCTTAAACATGAAAACTATTTTCTGGCAATTATTTAGTTAAAAATTACGACGCAGTCACGTTGGCTGTTTTTAAGTGAACGCATAATCAGCGTGTAAGATAACTTGAAAACGCTTTAACCTAGAACAAAAAGCGAAACAATTTTACGTTCTACATGAAATTTACTAAAGAAAGACGTAGTGGTTTTGCGATATATTAAAAACTTTCTTTGCTATGGACATTTTCATACAAAATTTTTCGGTTAAAAATTATACTTTTTCAAATATTTACCACTTGCACAAACAGTCATATTTTTTAAAATCCCTATTTATAGGTTTAGCATAATAAATGTCCCTACATGTATTTCTCTAGTAAATTTCATGTAAAAAAATGAAAATGTTAGCTTTTGATTCGTGTTATCTTACGTCGTTAATTCTGAAAATAACAGACAAAACTAATATTCAAACAGCAAGGAGCTACGATTAAAATGATGGAATCTACCAGATGACACTCAGATGACGCTAGTGTCACGTCATTGGCTACTAACATGACACCATTGTGGCGTCATCGTGCGTCATAGTATTAATTTAGAATAAACGTTCACGTACATGAAAGGTAACTATTCTATCCAGGACAATTGATATAGAATTGATGACCTTTTCCTGATATGGTGATTTAAATGAATTTAAAGCAATTTTTTATTGAAAAAAAAATTTACTTATTCTTTAATTGAAACTTTGTTTTTGAAATAACATTCGAAATGATGGGTGAATAGTTAACTCGAAAATTGAAATGACTGAAACACATATTAATGTAAACACTATTTAGTAATTAGTGAGATTATGTTACATATTAATGCGACAAAATCTTGCATGAACTCTTAACAGAGCTCGTTAATCGAAAATTTTGAATTTTTAATGCAGCTTAAACATTAAATAAGATAATTTATTTTTGCAATTTGATGATCGCAGAATTATATTCGTTAAATAGAGGTCCCTTAATCGTGATTTTAGTGTATTGTCGAACGAGCATGGAATATTGACGAAACATATTTTTTATTTGAGTGAATACTGTAAAATACTTTTGAAACACCCTGTACCTAACCAACTTGTTCACGTTGCACGATCAGTCAGAGGTAATCACGTCTCGAATTTATGGTCAGGCGAGCCGGTAATATTTAGGAATACGCAACTCAGCCGTGCTTAAGGCTGTCTTCACGAAGATAACGCGCGCTGTTCCAGTTTAAATGATATGGAACAAAGTATAACATCGACGATTTCCCGACCGATCTCGAATATACAATGTGTCAACAGAACTTATGGTGCAAAATGGAAAAGAACGATTCTAGGTAAAAAAAAAAAGTCGAAAATATGTAATAAATTTTTTTGTTCACTTACGTCAACGCTATCCAATAAGATGGAACGAAAAAACAAAAATTTTATGATTGTTTTCTAACAGTGAAAAAATTTGCTTTTAATCTTACAGATTAAGCCTACAAGGGCTGGTTTCTAGAAATTTTGATTTCGGACTACTCTACATCGAGATATCGTGGGCACCGTTTCCACAGTACAATAATTCTGGATCAACACGACTAGCGCCACCTACGATTTGCCACGCCGCACGAATATTGAAACAAAATTTTTTTTTATTTACTTGAATGTATAATAAATA